AACTAAATTCCAGTACTGTTTTTTAAGATTTGTTGAACACACCATTATTATTACTGTGCAAAATTGTTCTATTTTTTGTTCTTCAGGATTTTTCATTCAAAAATTAGTAGATCAGAGGTCATGGTGTGGATACTGTTTCATGCTTGTAAGGTTTTTGAATTTCTGTTGAAAGATTTCCGCAAAATAGTAGAGTCGAGGAGGATATTAATACTGTATTAGATTTTAGTATATTTTAGTGTCAGTTAATAACAATGAGAAAAATTACAAAATTGTCGAGTCTTATAATGAAGAAGTTATTCTGATCTCCTTGTCAGAAAGACGATGTTAGATTTTCCTTATAATTCACCGCAGTCCGCAATTGCTATCTCTTGGGATGTTTTGCCATCTTCAGAACCCACTGCTTCGATCTTCTTTACTACCTCCATGCCTTCGACAACTTTCCCAAATACCACATGTTTCCCGTCTAACCAGTCTGTTTTGATGGTACATAGGAAAAATTGAGAACCATTCGTATTGGGACCTGCGTTTGCCATCGATAAAATCCCTGGGCCAGTGTGCTTCTCGATGAAATTTTCATCAGGAAAACTTTCCCCGTATATCGATTCACCCCCAGTTCCATCACCGTTCGTGAAATCACCTCCCTGGCACATGAATTCTGGAATGACCCGATGAAATTTGCAACCTTTGTAATGGAGGGGCTTCCCAAGCTTACCCATTCCTTTTTCACCGGTGCACAAGCATCGGAAATTTTCAGCTGTTTTTGGTACTATATCATTAAATAACTCCATCACAATACGTCCTGAAGCTTTCCCACCAATGATAATATCGAAGAAAACATGTGGTCGACCGTCGCGTTTTTTCGTTTTTTGTTTCGACTGCAGATCGTTACCTTTGACACCTTCTTTTTCTGTTTGTTTAGCAGCTGCAATATTATCACCTTTCTTTATCCTATTCTCATTGTCACTTCTCATCTCTAGTTCCTTATTCTTTGCTTTCTCAATATCATCATCTGCATGGACCTCTTTCTTCTGCATGCACATTTTTTTTTTCACTTCTTTGAAACAGATGTGCAATTTTGCAGAATTACTAATTGTACAAGACAGAAATGATCGAGTCGACGTAGGTGCTCTCTGGTTAACAAATGACACCTTTAGGGATGGAAGCATCTTTTTTATATAATTGAATTTATGTAAATTATGTGAATAATCTTCCGTAGCATTTGCATCAGACTCGATTTTATTCTGGAAAATGGACAAAAATGATGCAGTAGCAGCAGCATCTTTATAATTTACTGCATATCGCATGCAATTCCATTAATCAGGAAATGAGGATCGTCCTACTACGAATCTCATTTAGCCTTGTTTGTTAAAGGATCCAATCGAATAGGACTGGAGAGTCTGTCATTAAATTACATCGCAATACTATTCAGTAATAACCGTTTTATAGTATGTATCGATTCACACATTATTGGATAGATGTTTCTCAACTTGAGGGAGTTACAGTTTAAGGAAGTTGCTAGTAATTACACTATATCATTAGAAGAATACTGTAACCTAATAAAGACCTCACCATGATCTGATAGCATATGTTTTGAAGGATTAAAATTGCATAAACATGTCTCTTCAAAACTCATTCTCTTGAACGTATCAACTAAATAACTTAAGAGATGAACAGGAGGGGAGATTTTCCGGAATGATAAACAAAGACAAATTTAACATCCACATTTAGCAGATTCTATCTGTCAAACTTATACAAAAGTACTGTATTGAAATATACCTATGAGGTTAGTAGTCAGTGTTATATAGTATTAGCATTATGGGTGTTATAATATCTGTAGAAGTTTCTAAGATACTTCAAGAATTACAGTAGACCCAGTGTGCATATTTTGCATCATTTGCACTGAAACTGTGGTTTAACTTATATGTTTTATAAGACATTGATTACTTTTGGTGGTGGTTTATTTACTCTTGTATTAAAAGGTATTTATCAATAATTAGAAAAGCATTTACGAGAGAAGCCATGAATTAAAAGAATGAAATCGGTCATGTCAAGTTTGATTATTAAACTCCCCAGAATAATTAATTTTCGTTTAGTTACTACCTGTGGAAGGTTTCATATCGGAAATTGCTGTCAATGAAATGGGTATAAGTATGGTTCGATTCACTAAAGATTTGCTCTTTTCAAGTGTGCAGCAGACAGACCAGGTAAATTTATTCCTCACTCATTGTACCTAGTCATCATTGTTTTTGTCATCTATTATTCCTTTATATTCCTCATAATATAATTTCAGGGACTATATCAGTGCATTGCAAGTAATGCTATTGGTGAACGAAGTACATTTGTCGGTTTAGTGGTTGAGGCTGAAATTGACTCAGTGATAACGAATCTCGAAGTTACCGTCGATCATGCAAAGTAGAATTTTTGTTGCTGCATTTCTTATCGAATACTTCTATATCATCCCTACATGTATTTCTTCTGTCATGAGTTTTCTATTTCTGGCAAAAAATTCTGCCAAAAACAGATGAAATTTAAAATAAGCGGATATGAAGAAGTACCGCCATCAATCAGTACGATCAAATGCTAATTCATAAACTATACTGATAGTAACGGTACTTGATACAATGTCTGACGCATCGATCGGATGCTATTTAGTGAGGTTCTATTGTCATTCGTTGAGATTAAGGTTCTTATTGACTGCAGCTTACAGTTAATCTTTTATTTCAAAAGGAAATTTGCTAATTTAGTGCGCAGTTCAATTTAAAATGGCATTTACCACAAACAATGGATTATCTGGAGGCTGATCATACTATATTTTTATTGAACTACTATTTATCAGACGGCGAGTATTTTTTTGATTTGAAAAACTTCTATAAGGGACACTTTGAAAAATCATTCGTTTGTTGATAGCTCTTCCGGAAGTGTTCTTTTATTTTGATACCTTTCACATCAGCGGATTACCATCCTGCATTTCAATTCATCAGCATAATGTGTTTCGTATTACTGTATTTTACAAGAAAATTTGACAGTTAGTCTAGGAGTTGCTGTAAATGTGGATGACAAATCAGAATATTTCATAATGAAGCTATGAACTTTCAGGTGGTAGTGCAAATAATGTACCGTTACGTAATGCCCGTTGTACACCCGATAATTGGTGTGTTGCTAAATGTTGCTTATCGAATTATATATTTTTCCCTCGACGAAATTATACCTTTCAAATGTCACTTTTCAAAACAGACGCAGTCGGAAAAATTACACCGCTTTCGGAACATGTGACAGCTCTGTCATGGGACGGAGGTATACTTTGCAGAATTAGAGGAGGACATTAGAGGGGGACAAAATTAATTTAATTGCCTATATTCACAGTCCTCAAAAGGAATCACCAATGGGGAATTTGAATCAGGCATCTGAAGATTAGATCAGTGTTATTAACATACAAAATATCCCCTTCAGTTTTGTAAAAATTAGATTTCTAATGAACGTGTTTAAACGAAATTCACAACCAGTCCTATCTTAAAAATATTATTACAAGCTTCTTTTAACTTAATGCGCCAATTATACGCTTGGGAGTTTTCATGATGAATCTATGAAATAGGATATTTGCATCAAATTTGTGATGTAATTAT